TCTTTCTTTCTTTCTTTCTTTCTTTCTTTCTTTCTTTCTTTCTTTCTTTCTCTCTCTCGCTCTCTTTCTTTCTTTTTCTTTCTTTCTTTTTTTCCTCCCTCCCTCTCTCCCTCTTTTTCTTTTTAATATAGTGGTGACCAAAACAGCATGTGATATTGTGTGAGTGTGGGAGGCGCAAGGGATTAAGGATCCTTGGATCAAAGGTGTAATAGCGGGAAAGGTACAGCTGGCAGGTATACAATGGAGGACACCACCCCTCTTGCTCCACCCGCTATGCAGCTGAGGGCTACGCTGTCTCTTATCTGACCGTTCCCTAGGCAGCATCTCTTCCCCAGGCTTCCCAAGGTCATTCTCACATACCATTACATCAACTGCAGCCCACCCTTTCCCCAAATATTAAGTGGGGCCGGCAGCTCAGTAAAGCACTGCTCACCCCTCCCCTGAAACCTGGGGGGGTGGGGGCTCTTTTCCTCCCCAAAGCTAGGTTAGTGCCAGACTGGAGAGATTTTGGAATCTCACTCTCTATCCGAAGCGGGTGGAAGGAGAGGGTGGTGGGAGGCACCAAATTCTTACCGCTTTGCTTGTATGACTTCCACTGCTTCAGGGCCTGGCTTGGAAAAAGAGCTCTGTATTTCTGCCTCCTGTTTTCTACGGCCTTGTGATCTGTGGAAGAGAAGACGATTAGGGTCCCGCCAAGGGTTATCCCTGGGTTGTTGTTTTTTTTGTACGTCGGTCGAAAAGATCAGGGAACCCTAGAACTGGGAATGTCCCAAGAGATCCTCTAGTCCAGGGGTCGCCAACCTTTTGGACCTCAAGAACCACCAAACTCATAATTTTAAATCCCACAGACCAGAGACCCTGGGAAAAAAAATCCCCCCCAAATCTGCAAGAAAATTCTCCACCCTGTTTTCCTACCAATCAATCATTCGTTATTTGGGATCGCAGGATAACATCTCCAGAGAGAGAGAGAGAGAGAGAGAGAGACTTTTGACCTCATGCAAGGAAAACAGCAGAAGCAGCAGAAGTTTTTCTTTCTCTCCCCCCGAGGAAAACCTACTGTTCCAGACAACTTGCTGAACTATCCCAGTGCTCATCCTGGTCGAGGCTGCTAGCTATTGTAGTTCAATATTGTGTCTGGCTGACCAGCCATTTCAATTAATGCAGCATTTTTTTTCCCCCCAACTCAGCAAATTGAAAGGGTGTGGACTTCAACTCCCAGAATCCCCTAGTCAGCATGCTGGGAGTCAATTCCATGGGTCAGTTCACGATCTCCTGTCTAAATTTCCCACCGTTTTCCCCTTGGCTCTGTATTTTTCAGTCAGCCCAAAGCTTCCTTTTTCTGCCGTGTCTTTTCTCGCCCTGAATATTGAGAAAAATGCTCACTAAACAAAGCGGCAGCTTTGATACGGTTATACGTTCCAATTTGTAGACAGTCATTCCAAGCCTGTTATTTACAGTATTAGCTTTCCCATTATTCTGGGTGGCTTTCTATGCTGCCGTATTTATAATATCGACACAGCAGTACATCAAGTGCAATTATGGTTTAGTTCTCTGTGGGTTTTTGTTCTGAGGGCACAGATACCTGACCAGAAGTTGAAACATGCCCTGCCCTTTGAAATCTAGCCCATCAAGGTGATACGCTTTTCCCCTGAGCTGCTAGATTTCTCTAGCTTTCACATCCTGGCTCGCAAAAAAATCTTACTGGTTGAGGGAAAGCTGGAAATAAAGGAGAGAAGAAGGAATCTTGCTAGAGGTAGTCCTCAATTCACAACTACAATCGTGCCTAAAAAGTATGCCACTAAGTGAGATAATTGTTAAGTGAGTTTTGCCCCATTTTGAGTTTTCTTGCCATGTTGTTAAGTGAATCACCAGCAGTTGTAAGTTAGTAACACGGTTGTTAAGCAAATCTGCCTTCCCCATTTGACTCTGCTTGGCAGAAGGTTGCAAAAGGGAATCACGTAGCCCTCGGATGCTGCGACCGTCATAAATATGAGTCGGTTGCCAAGCGGCTGGATGTCGATCACGTGACCATGGGGATTCCGCGATGGACGCAAGGGTGAAAAACGGCCATAGGTCACTTTTTTCAGGGCCGCTGCAAGTTCGAACGGTCTAAACCAGCAGTTCCCCATTCTTTCCAGCTTTGCAGACCAGTGGGAGGGGCAGAGAGAGGATGATTACACGCGAGCGGCAGGCAAGCATGTGTGTGTGTGTGTGTGAGAGAGAGCCGGATAGGTGTGCCAGCCGCTTGCGTAAATGGAGCTTCATGCGTGCCCGCCTACCACTTCTGCAGCCCTTCTCCAACAAATCAAACATAATCCAAAAGGAACAGAAACCTTTTAATGTTTCTGCAAAATAATTAGCTGTGATAAGCACAAGCCTTGCCAAACTGTGCAAGACTTGCCAAAGGATAACAGACAAGAAATAATTTGCAATACAAGAATCTTCAAATACAAACTCAGGATACTGGAATGTCCACGAGGCTGGAGTTTCAAAATGTCTTTGCCTTCTGCAAAGGTTAGTTTCACAGCTGGCTTTTATCTTTTTGAAGGAGGGGCCATTACCTTGCAGCCTTACTCCCGAGTCACCCGTACTGCTGTAACTGCTCTCTCCTATGAGCAATCCTATGCGCATGCGCACTTGCCACAGGCTCCTCGGGAACCTCCTCATCGCTGCTGCTAGCCCCCACAATCTTTGAAGGCAGCAGCCTACTCCCTAGGGGTCCTGGCCCCTCATCTGAGTCCTCGCTCTCCTCAGCCATCCGCACCTGCTGCCGACTAACCACAACAACTGGTCCCAAATGGACCACAACCCCTGGTTTAAATGAAGTGTTGTAAGGTGAGGACTATCTGTGCTCTCTTTCGATCTATGGATTCACTCCAGCTTACCCAGTTCCCTTTTTGGAATCTACCCCCAAAACATGCTCGTGTTGTCAGCTCAGATTAACCAGGTTAGTTTACAATCATTCCATTCCTCTTTAGTCTCCCCGTGCCTTCTTTGCTCAAAAAACAAAAACAAAAAAACCCAATCAGCCTCACCTCCTTGCTGATGGGTTGTGCTGCTTTGAATCCTTGGATGACTCGGGCGTTTTTTGGGCAGCTTCGTTGCCCGTTGGGCCTCGTCTGCTTCGTTGTAGTATGGGAACCAACGGAAGCCTAAACGTAGGGCAGCTGCTCTTTCATTGCCATCCAGCGGTCTTTCGCTCATCCATCCTAAAAGCCAAACCATCCTCGATCAGTAACAGGGGGGTGGGGTGGGGTGGGGATCAGATTTTAATCTGGATTTCTCTCCCGATTGCACCCGAGAGAAATCAGCTCGAAAGCAGCATCTATGATGGAGGGAATCTGGAACTGGATTCTAAAATCAACCGGGCGCGTCTGCCTTCTCCATATGGAGAAGTGACCCTTTGAGAAAGGACCGACGCAGACGGATGGATGACAGTTAGAAGACTCCACCATCCGGGTCAAAGGGTGCCTAAAGGTTGAATCCTGGCAACTGGACCAAACGTGGTGAATCGGAGGCGTTGCGTCGCTCCTCCGAGCGACTCCATCAGTCGGAGCAAAGTTAGCTAAAATGCAAGGCATCTTCGGAGTTTGCCATGCCAACTTTAAGTAGTTTTTGAGAAGTGGGATTTGGTATCGTCTGGTCTGCCCTTCCTGAGGGACTTCACAACCGTCCTGAGATAGGGGCTCGTCCCTCGATCGCTAGCCCAGTTGCCCCTCGGCACAACAGGCGCCTGTTGACTGTCACTGCCTAGGCAATTTTGGGATGGACATCCCTCCCAGTGTTAAAAGTTCCTCCTAAGTTTCTCCAAGTCCCCCGTCCCTGGTTTTCTCCCTCATCTGGTTTTTGCACACTCGCCGGGTGTGCCCACAACCTCTTTCCTGCCTAGTTAAGAGAGGGGCACCTGAGAAGCACAGAGGTCTTCGGAGAGTCAAACGGGGCGGGAAGCTAAGGAGTTTCTTCTTGCAGATCCTTGGGTCCCAGCGAGTCGGTGTAGAAACTATTTCCTGCTCTGAAGCCATACTTCTGGAAGATGACTTACTCCCAGGTCACAATAGAGAGGCTGTGATGTCACGTTTTGACACGCTGGTCAGTTGGCCAACAGCTACAGAGCAGGGGCTTGTAGCTCAACAGGTGAAGCGCGAGCTCGGCAGGAGGGAGGCCTTTGATTCAATAGCCAGAACGTCTAAGGCAAATAGGTTTGGGTGGCACCTGTTGTGGTGCCAGTGCAGACGGCAGCGGAATCGGACAGTGGGGAAGAACGGGGACCAGTCTGGGAGTCTGGGGAGGACTCGGACGAGAGTCCTGCGCCCGATGCAGAGATGGGGCCAGGACCATCTGGGAGTTATGTGCTGACTCCGGAGCCCCTGGAGTCTGGCAGCAGCTAGGAAGAGGATCCAGGGGAGCCTGTTCCCAATGCGCGTGTGTGCAGAGCTGCTAGAAGGAGAGAGCAGCTGAAACAGAAGGGGCGACACGGGAGTAAGACTGGGATGTGATTGCCCCTCCCATAAGAGATAACGGACAGGCCAAGATTATGAAACCTTTGCAGGAAGCAAAGTAGTTCGACAGATTCCAAGTCCTCCTTGAAGCTCTGCGTACTGTGGTTGGTTTTTTTCTGGTACTTCGGTTGGTTTCTGTTATAATTAACTGGATAGTTTTGTTTTGGGCAGCATTCCACAGCACCGAAAGGTGAGTGCTTATCTTAGGGAACTGTTTAAGATAAGTTCTGACTGGGAATGAAAGCCATTCCCAGCATTGCAATAAAATAGGCTTTGCTTTTAAAACAAGTTTGTGTTTCATTACGTTTGACGAAGCCTGGGTCAGAACAGCAGCAGGAAAAAAAAAGAAAAAAAGGTCTCCGGATGCTGAATTTGTAAAGTGGAGAAGCAGACGTTTTGCATTGTTTGGCCACCAGTGTAATCTCACAACTGTTTCTTTCCCTTCTGCAGGACTTCAAACTATCGATTTCACTCTTTTTAAGCTTGGAAATGTGGCCTCAGGTGTCAAAAGAAGCAGCCACTTTCGATGTGAGTTTGGCTCACTTTCTAAGATCTCTCTCTCTCTCTCCTCTGAGTCAGCGTTCGGATTCAAAGCCATGGCTTGCACACAGCTTGGCAGGGGCTTTGACCAAATAGTCGCTTTGACGAAGAGAGGCTTTTCGGAAACCAGCATGGCTGCATGGCAGAGATTTGATTTTTTTAAAAAAAGTTGCAGTTTCAAGATCGAATTCAGAGCAGAAGTGTGAGGCCCCTTCAGAGTAGAAGTTGTGGCGTAAATAAAAATTATATTTTTTTCTGGAGTTGTTCTTTCCTCCGTGGACTTGAATGTCAAGAAGGATAAAATATAAGGAAGAGATTGTTGTGGAACTGATGAAGCCTGATTGCAGCCAAGCATCTCCGAAGAGATTTTTAAGAAATCAGCTATAAACTCTGCGGCTATTTAAACATATAAACATGCCACCTTAATCTTATTTAATTTAATATTGCTTCTTTGGTTATTTCAGTGTGCATTTTTAGATTAGTTGAGATTTGGGGAAGCTGGATTTTCCCTCCGTTTGAGAAGGCTAAAAAATGCTTGCTAATTCTGCCCTGCTGAACTCGCCAAGTTCTAGGAAAAGAGAGAAATGCATTTTGTGAGAGGCTGGTGGAAAAGTGGATTTATGATGGAAGACCCCAAATGGAGAAGAAACGTAACTGTCGCAAGATATAAAGATGAGTGTTTAAAATTTTAATGGGCTCCAAAGGGCATCACTGGAGGGTTTTAAGGATAATCGTTCCCTTCTGAAAAAAAGTCAGCCTTTGATTAGTTTATTTTATTTTTTCAAAAGTATTATTTGGGCAGCTGAGTATCTCAGGAGAAGAGGCAAAAAGACACGGAAGGATCGTGGCTGAGAATTTCATTCTTTTCGTTGATTGTTTTCAAGGGCTGGTAGCTTATGCAGTTTGTGTTAGGAAAAAAAACCCCACACACATTGCATTTATTTTATAGGTAATCCTCGACTTGTTGACTGTTCAAAGTTACAACGGCACTGAAAAAAGTGATTTATGGCAGTTTTTCCACACCTAACGTCCATCGCAGTATCCCTATGGTCACGTGATCACAATTCCGATGCTTGCAACCGACTCATATTTATGACGGTCGCAGTTACGATCCCCTTTTGAGACCATCCCTCTATTCAAACATCAGCTTTGCTCCATATGTACACCTGTTTTTGCCATCCCAAATTTATTGTTAGGGCTGTCATGGGACAATTAACAATTGGCAACGCCAGCAAAAAGAAAGAAAAGAAAAAAAAAGCACAGGATATTCTCCTCTCTCTAGCTCATATTTTTATAGCATACAAATATTTGTGTGTTTACCTTCCTCTTCCACTTAATTTGCTCTTATTTTATGCAGCTGAGTTTTGCCCCCAGCCAAATTGCCTGCTAAGGGAGCCAAGGTTTTATCGGTCTTTCATTTCCCTAATTTCTTCTTTTTATGAGATTCGCCAGGATGAATTCACTTTAACCGCCTGCTTGCAAGAGAGAGGGAATGGGTACCCTCTGTTTGGCTGGCCGTGGAATCAAATACCTTTGGAGTACAGGCAGTCCTTGACTTATGACGACAATTTCTGCTGTTAAGCAAGACATTTGTTAAGTGAATTTTCCCCCATTTTATGACCTTTCTTGCCAGTCACTAAGCGAACTGTTGTAAGTTAAGGACTACCTGTAGACCCTCTTCAGGTGAAATGTTTGAGGCTGACCTTAAATTTAATTTTTTTTAAAAAAAATTAACCAGTGGACTAGGTATTTCTACAAATCCGGGCACCTAAGAAAAGTTGATACAAATAAAGAGATATTTGCCTTGTGCTTTCCATGTTTATTGTTCTGAAAATTCCCCAGCAGGACAAATAGTGGCATTCAAAATACCACGTTGATTTACAGAGGTGACGAAGCCAAGAACGGCAGGGAGAAAACTGTTGAGTTTTGCATGAAGTTGGAGGCTAAGGGGAGATTTATTTATTTTTTTTCCACATCCCAGACTGTTTTCAAAGACTAAGACTAAGCACCCGGCAGGATGGTTAAGTGGCTGGCACGACCAGATTGTAAAGGCCTGGAGAGGGGCAGGAGACAATCTCTGTGCACTACTCAGAGGTGCAGGAAGGGGGAAAAATGAAGTAGCCAGGGAGAAACCAGAGTTTGTTGTTTTTCCTATCAGGTCGTCCCAAAGGTGCTTTTTTCTCAAGAGGCAAACTGGACTTTCTGTTTTGTTTTGTTTTCTTTGAAGACGAAGTTTCGCTTCTCATCCAAGATGCTCTTGGATAAGAAAATGAAACATCTTCAAATAATAATAAAAAAACCAGAAAGTCCAGTTGCCTCTTGGGGCAACCATGACTTGGATGATGGCGAATCTCCATGGACTTTCCTACCAGGTGGGTTTTTCTGCAGTTGGACGTGAGAGCCAACGAATTCATTGAACATTAGGTCCCATATTGGGCTGAGCAAGAGGTGGACTACAGCTCCCAGCAGCCCCTCATAAACAGAGGGTACTGTAGATAGGGATGCTGGGAGCCGTAGTTTGGCCACATCTGGAGGCTCAGACATCTTAGTTGTCAACAGTTCTCAGAGGATCCTGCTCTTGTCAAGGCTTCCTTCCTAGAAGCTGCCCCTGTTCATTTTCCCAGAATATCACATGGATTAATGACTCTAGGGCCGTGATGGTGAACCTAGGGCACACCTGCCAGAGGCGGCACACGTGAGCCCTCTCAGTGGGCACAGGTGCCATTAATAGCTGCTCTTTGGGTTTCTGGCGAGCACGTGTGTGCTGGCCAGCTGGTCTCCCAAAACAGGGCATTTTTCACGCCGTTTTCAGGGTGTTCTTAGGTCGTTTTCTGGAGCATTTTTCAGGCCGTCTTTTGGGCTGTTTTGGCCGGAAAAATGGTTAAAAAACAGGCCGTTTTTCCGGCCATTTTCAGGCCAAACACGGGCTGAAAAACAGCCTAAAAATGGATAAAAACGCCCCCCCCCCAAGGCATGCGCACACCCACTAGCTGGTTTTTGGTTTTCCGGCACTCTGGCATGCGCACACATTCTGGTTTGGGCAGTCGGGGCTGAGAAGGTTCGCCATCACTGCTCTAGGGCCTTGTGGGAAATGGGAAGGCAACAACATGGAGGGAAGGGAATGCGCGTCTCTTTCTCAAATAGGGAGAGGAGTTGGGTTTTGGTGGGCAGCAGGCCCACAAGTCAAGCCAGCCTTCTCCTAGCTGGGAGGAAGGCTGTCGGATTCACCTGAGGCTAGTGGTGGAGGTGGAGGAGGTCCATCAGGGCACAGAACGTCTCGAGTTTTGGACTTCGGGTTCTTTTTCCGTTTTCCGACGTGGCCCGTTAAGACCCCGCTGGAGTTTACCTTGCAACTGGAAGTCTGGGCCAAGTCGCTGACTGAGTCCGGAGTGTCCTGGCTCGGATCTTCTGGGAGGGTCTTCACAGGATCTGCCTCACCCCCTTCTCTCCAGGCCAGTTCTCCTCCTGCCACAGCCTCACCGCCTGCTTCCTGGGAGCCTGGGGCTTCCTCCCGACTTTGGCCGGACTCCACACCTTCATTCGTTTTCTCCAGGGTTGTGCTAGGGAGCTCCGAGCGCACATGAAGATCCGGGGCTCCCACCTGCTCGCTACCACTTGGTCCACAGGTACCGAGAGATCCTGCAATGGATGCCACCCTGACCGGCATGCCTTCATTCGCGGGGGGTGAGGGAGGCTGGCTTTGGGAAAGCCCGGCGTCCTCTTCTGCGGGTTCATCTTGCTCACTCGGTGGGTAGAAAATGGATTTTTTCTTTACCTCATCCCTGGCTGAAGCCCATTTGTGTTCTGGACAATGGCTGCAGAGGGGAAAAAAGCAATGGGAACCAGTATTTAATAGAATAGAATAGAATAGAATAGAATAGAAGAGAAGAGAAGAGAAGAGAAGAGAAGAGAAGAGAAGAGAAGAG